AGTGACAGCTAGTACAGGGAACTTCTCCCCGTGCTGCTGTCACACTGGGGGCTCAGATCACCAAGCCGCTGCAGGAGTGGGAACATGTTATAGGTTCCACCCTAAAAAACGGGTGGAGAATGTAACATGTACCCGAAGGTGAACCTATCCTTTAAATTTTTACTTCCAGTAATTTATGGAAACCAATCAGTAAATACTGCACTGATCTGGCTTCTGAGTGGTTGTTACGAGTTCCACTGCCTTAAGGGGGGGAAAAAAAAAAAAAAAAAAAAAAAAAAAAAAAAAAAACTTACCATCATTGCTCATGCTGGCACAGGTACTTCCAGGTTTGGGGCATATACGTACCACCACAACAGATATATTGGGGCATATACGTACCACCGCAACAGATATATTGGGGCATATACGTACCACCGCAACAGATATAATGGGGCATATACGTACCACCGCAACAGATATAATGGGGCATATACGTACCACCGCAACAGATATATTGGGGCATATACGTACCACCGCAACAGATATAATGGGGCATATACGTACCACCGCAACAGATATATTGGGGCATATACGTACCACCGCAACAGATATATTGGGGCATATACGTACCACCGCAACACATATAATGGGGCATATACGTACCACCGCAACACATATATTGGGGCATATACGTACCACCGCAACACATATATTGGGGCATATACGTACCACCGCAACAGATATATTGGGGCATATACGTACCACCGCAACACATATATTGGGGCATATACGTACCACCGCAACAGATATATTGGGGCATATACGTACCACCGCAACACATATATTGGGGCATATACGTACCACCGCAACAGATATATTGGGGGATATACGTACCACCGCAACAGATATATTGGGGCATATACGTACCACCGCAACACATATATTGGGGCATATATATACCACCGCAACACATATATTGGGGCATATATACGTACCACCACAACAACAAATATTGTGGCATATATGTACCACCACAATTCTGTTGTGCATAACAGAATGCAAGAATTGACTTTCAGGACAAAGTCCCTTTTCCCCCCAATGAATCTTCGCAGGGTCTACAGCAAGCAGGAGACGTGACAAAAGCAAGTGGTCCTCTGGGCAGTGCAGAGGCCAAGTGGTTAGCACTCTTGCTTAGCAGCATTAGGGCTGTTAGTTCAAATCCCAACCACGGCACTACCTGCCTGGAGTTTGCATGTTTTCCCTGTGCTTATGTGGGTTTCCTCCGGGTACTCCAGTTTCCTCTCACACTCCAAAGACATGCTGGTAGGTTAATTGTCCCTAGGATATGTATGTATGAATGTGAGTTGGGGACCTTAGATTGTAAGCTCCTTGAGAGCAGGGACTGACGTGAATGTAAAAGAACTGAAAATTGACAGCTCTATACAAGTACCTGTAACAAATAAAGCTGAAGGCTGACCTTAGGCCTTCTTATCATTCTCAGGGCTGCCAGCACTCCCCCAATACTTACCTTTGGAGCAGGGTCCACCAGAGCATCAGCATCCATCACCCATGGACAATGAAAGCATCTTCTACCTGAGCAGCCAATCAGAGCCACCACTCACACAGATCTAGTCCATCCTAAAGCTGGCTGTACACAATTCAATGCAACTGTATGATGTTTAGCTGTACCAAGGCTATGTAACATGCAGGTCCACCTAAGCAATCTCTGTGCAATCTCGGTTAGATATACCACATGTATGTAACACGAGGCCCTGCCTAAGATTTTCGTTTCTGGAAGATCCTTGCACTACACAGCTGTTATTAGATCTAAAGAAGATTTATTTATTTCAGGTACTTATATAGCGCCGTCAATTTACGCAGCACTTTACATTTATATATTGTACATTCACATCAGTCCCTAACCCTCAAGGGGCGTAAAATCTAAGGTCCCTAACTCACATTCATACATACACAGACTAGGGCCAATTTAGACAGGATCCAATTAACCTACCAGCATGTCTTTGGCATGTGGAAGGAAACTGGAGTACCTGGAGGAAACCCACGCAGGCACAGGGAGAACATGCAAACTCCAGGCAGGTGGTGCCATGGTTGGGATCGTAAAATAAGGATGTATCGTGTATGGTCAGCTTAAAGGGACAACTATGCTTCTTGTCTATTGTGTGCCCCCATGTCAGCCATCCTCTCCATAGGAATAATTCGGATATCTGATACACGTGCTGGAGAAAGACCAGCCAGAGAGTTTACAGCAGTGTCTGTGGGGCTCCCAATGGCCTGCATGGCTTGGATCATGCAGGAATATGGACAGGCGAGTATGAAATGTGTGTGTGTGGGGGGGAGGGGGTTCACCTTGAAGGATAACTAGTACAAGTACAGATCTCCTTTAGCAGAGGAACCAAAGGGAGGTGGTGACCATTGGGATTGCAAAACAGATCAGCATTAGGGAGAAAAAGGGAATTAGGTAGGGGCTTTTTTTTTTCCTCCAAATTTTTTTTAGATCTGATCTAGAGCATCACAGGGTACTTACCACAGGAAGATTTTTTTTTTTAATTCCAGATCTGTGCAGTATTCCAATGTGAAGCTTTACCTCTGCGCAGGAGCTTCCTGTAATAAAGACCACTCATGTGCAAGGAGTCTGGTGTGCTGGGCCCCTTCCACAGCTCTGCTGTCTGTACAAATTATATGCAGCACAGTGATGATGTCACTGCTAATCTTACGAGGTAATATCTGGGTTTGCAAAGACTTGTGGTGGACACAAAGTGGATTCATATCCTCTGCAACTAATGATGAGCAATATTTCAATTCAAGTTTTTGTGTCCAAAGTATAGCTTTAAGGTCTCATTCATACCAGCCTAGGAGCTAAATCGAACATGGCTGGTGTGTCATGCATAGGGGGCGGTGCGATGCATGCATTGTTACAACACATCGCATCGTTTACGTTTTCACTCTCCAAACTGTCACTTCATTCAAGCCTGTGTAATGAGCAGACATGCTGCAGTTTTTATGTGGTGTCATGCATTGCGCTAGGAGCAGGGCACATGGAAAACCAGGATCTACCGTTGCATTGAGCCTCGAATCACAAAGCTTTAACACAAGGATACGTATCTATTTTAGTCATGTGACTACAGCACCACTGGACTCAACTTAAAATAACTGTCTTTTTTTAACCCCTTTGCGTCAGCACCTCCCAGCCCTTTAGGCTGTATTCACACTTCAGCGTTTTGTAGCTTGAGGCTCTAAAAACACTCAAAAACTTAAAAAAAAGAAAAAAATCAGTTCTCTATGGTGCCTGTTCATGTGATCAAGTGTGAACAGGCAACATAGAGAACAATTGATTTGATTTAGTTTGAGCTTTTTTGGTGCTTCGAGCTTCAAAATGCTGAAGTGTGAATGCAGCCTAAAGGGGTTTTTGATGCCGGGAGGGGTTTAGGGCTATGAGACCGCAATGACTGGCTTTCACAGCAGTCACATGATCGGAAAGCTCCCAACTGCTACTAGTGTGAGGCGTAAATGTGCTGGGAGCACGTAGGGTGGGCGCGCCTGGCATGCGTTTGTTTATAATGGTTACGCAAATATGCGGCCTGTCAGCGTCAAGGCCCAGCCACCAAGTGGCCACATATTTGCATACCGTCAGCGCCAATAAGTCAAATATCCCAACCGTGGCACCACCTGCCTGGAGTTTGCATGTTCTCCCTGTGCCTGTGTGGGCTTCCTCTGGGTACTCCGGTTTCCTCCCACACTCCAAAGACATTCTGGTAGGTTAATTGGCTCCTGTCTAAATTGTCCCTAGTATGTGTATGTCTGAATGTAAGTTAGGGCCTTAGATTGTACGCCCCTTGAGGGTTAGGGACTGATGTGAATGTACAATATATAGGGACCTTAGATTTGTATGCCCCTTGAGGGTTAGGGACTGAAGTGAATGTACAATATATATGTAAAGTGCTGCGTAAATTGACGAGGCCATATAAATACCTGAAAAATAAACAAGGATCCTCAAACTGGTGGACTATCATTGTGATTCAAGCCTATGGTGTAAATGAGCCCAAAGGCCTATTACACGATGAGAATATCGCCGAATGATTGCCCTTTTTTTGGCTGCTAGACGATCAAAACTGAATAGATTACTAAAGTTACGAAAATTCTCGTAAAACAGAATAAAACATCCCGCGATGATGTAATGTATTCTTTCATTTCCAAGCATGTACTGTCTTTTTTTTTTGTACGGATGAATGCTGTACTAATTAAATCATTAATGAGTTCGGTTATCTCACAAGAAAAATGTTTGTGCTTGTCCCTTTGGAAAACTTCACATGAACTGTTGTGATCGGTTTTCGAAAGCTGTGTACTAACGATCTCTCTGAAAACGGTTTCTGCATTAGATTTTCTCATCGCGTGTACTAGGTATTATACTTACCTGCTCCCCACCGCCACTCTGCAGAAGAATCTAACTTTTGACACTTCCTGGAGTGTCAGATCTCCAGTCTCCCCCCCACCTGCGCTCTGTAGTTCGATCCGTCTTCCCTTGCATCACTACACTGGCTTTGGCGTAGGTGGCAGAAAGAGAAACCATTGCACTCAGTGGGGGAGTGGGCATCCAGAAGTGTGCGGACATCAGAATTTTCCTGGCAGCGTGGCTCTTCAATAGAACAGGGATTGGTGACACAGGGTGAGAGGATGCATTTTTTTTTTCTGCCAAGTTAATGTCAGCAGAGGGTGTCACCCCATGAGGAGAGCATGTTTTTTTTTTCCTCATGACAGGTGTCCTTTAGGAATAAAGCTTCATTATACAAGGTGTCATGTGTATCCGGAATGAATAGAGATGGAATCATGAGCACGGCAGTGTAGTTTGGATGGGATCGTCCATTCAGTGGTCACATGACCGCCTCCATGCAGCTCCTTGTCTATAAATAAACGAGCAGGCTCGGCGTGTGCAGGCTGGAAGCGTGCTCTGTGTACACAGTGAAGGGTGTGTGTGTAAACATGGTGTGCTCCCGCTGTCTCACCTCGAACTGCCAGTGTGCCGCCTGCAGGAGCTGCTTGGCCTGGTCCGCCGCACAGCCCGCCGCCAGCACGAACTGATTAATCATCACCTGGTGCCGCAGTTCCTCCATATTCACCGACATCCCGGACGCCACTCCGCACTCCCACCCGGCCGCCTCGTTATGTCCTCCACCACAAGACCCGGCGCGTCACCCACCGGAGGGCGGGCTTGGCCGAACGCTGCGAGCCGTCATTGGCCCGCTCCGCCGTCCGTCTACGCCGCTGCGCCCCGTGATTCGCACGGGCATTGGTCCGCCGGTCTTGTTTTGGCAGTCCGCTCTCTGCCATTGGCGAAGGGTTCCTTTCCATGGTTGGGCCCGCCCACCTTGATGTTTTGGACCGTGCGGATAGGACAGCGGTTTGTGTTGACGGGCGCAGCGATGGTCCTGCGGGGCGATGATTGGACAGGGAGAGCCGAGGGGGCCGGGACGCTGCCGATTGGCTCTTGCCGGGGAGTTTGAACACAAGGCTTTGAGGAAGGGAGTCGTGTGATTGGTCGCCGGGTGCCCGTATGTGACAACAGGGAAATGTGGCCAAGTTCATTGAGGACTTTGTCAGGGTGAGAGGCGGAGGAGGCGCTGCGTGTGTGGGGGAGAGGAGCACTTACCGCCTTCACAGCACCGGCAAGGCCACAGCTCCGCGTACATGACCGCCGGAGGGGCACTCACCGCCTGCACCCACATGCTGGCCTGCCTGGCTGATACGTAGGGCCCAGCTCCGCATACATGACACCAGAGACAGCAACTCCCCTCCTGTGTGTCTACAGGACAGACCCTTCAGACTGGCATGGAGGAGGACACGGCTTCACTATTTGAGGGTGTGAAGCCAGGGTGTGAAATCAGGTGCCGGCGTCCGGGACTGCCACAAGGCGAGAGAGAGAGCTAAGTGGGCGAGCCGGGGTGACACATGCTTCATGCCCAATGCGATTGCAGCCTGCTGCGATTTGCTCCCCATTTAACCACTTCAAGTCCGGACCAGGGGCGGACTGACCATTTATAAACTCGGGCACTGCCCGAGGGCCCGGGGTCAGGGGGCCCCATGAGATGCCCCTGGTACCTTTTTTTCATAGGCTTTTTTGAGTTTGGGCAAGGACACAGGGGCCCCATGATCCCCTATTGCCTGGGGGCCCCATGAGTTGTCAGTCCACCCCTGGTCCGGACACTTTCACCCCCTTCCTGCCCAGGACAATTTTCAGCTTTCAGTGCTATCACGCTTTCACAATTGTGCGGTCATGCAACACTGTATGCATGTGACATTTTTTTGTTTTTTTGAGCCCGTTAAAACTTTCTTTTTGTGGTATTTATTCACCACTGGGATTTTTATCTTTTTGCTATATAAATGAAAAAGACCACAAATTTGGGGAAAAAAAATTCTTTTAAAATTTTGCAAATAAATCTTTATTCATAAATCTTGGCCGAAATATATTTAGCTATGTTTTTGATAAATTAAAAAAATCAAATTTTTTTCAAAAAATGTTTTTAAAATTTTTTTTATATATATTATATATTTTTTTGTGTTTTAACATACTGTCACCCTAGCAGTACAGTGTCACCATAGTGACACTACTATTTGTGGAGGGTGATGACATTTTTTTTTACTGATTTGCTTTTACACCCAAAGGCTGTAAAAGCAAACATTTCTCCTTCTCTCTGGCTGCACTGAGCCATTGAGAAATACTGTGTGAGCTGTGATTGGTCACAGCTTGTCACATGGTACAAGGCTGTTGTGAATAGCCTTGTACCATGTGACCTCTGTGATCATTCACACATTTCACACGTAAACAATGTCAGGAAATGGCATCTTGTTTACTACTGGTCATGTGATCACTGATTGGCTAATCAGTGATCACGTGAACCGGGACCTCACACAGTGGTCCAGTACAGCGATATGTGTGCTGTGGACACAGCAGGTACAGATCGCTGCGTGCTCTCAGGGAGCACACACAGGCAGTGGATATGGGGGGACGTTTAGAAACACATCCCCCCCCGCATCGGCAATGCTCCTCTCTGGCTGTTTATCGGCATGGGCTGGACGGGAAGAGGTTAAAGCACAACTTGGCTGTATGTCTCCTGTGGATAATAGGAGTACAGTTCATTCTGCACTCCTGTGACCTGTTTTCAGCTGGCAGATGTCACTCAGCCAGTTCAGGCCTGGGAAAGATCCAGACTTTAAAGGATAAGTTCACCTTTTGGACAAAAATAATAAATGCACTTTTTATTTTTTTTGCAGGTAAAAACATGCATTTATTATTTTTGCCCAAAGGATCCCTGAAAGCATTGCACCAGCAATCAGTAGATGTCTGATGCCATGCAGGTCTCCTGCAGACCTGTCAGAATATCTGCTTGCTGTACGGGATGTACAAGCAAGAAGATATTCTGACGGGAAGCTTCAACGAACTATCACAGCGCTCCACAACACCATGATAGTTCATTGAAAACTACAAGTCCACAGCTGCTAAGGCTGCCAGGACTTGGAGGCACTCATTCACAAATCTGTGAATGAATGATGCGGCTGTGTGGGCGGAGCCCCGCATGGCCGCGCTGTTTTCAAATTTGACAGATAGTACGGGGAGACTTCTCCCCATATTATCTTTCAGAGGGAGGGGGGGCAGCGGGCGTGGCTGCAGCTATGGGAACGTGTTACGTGTCCCACCCTAAAAGCGCGTGAAACATGTAACATGTTCCCAAAGGTGAACTTATCCTTTAACCCCCTTGCCTACAGGGCACTTCTACCCCTTTCCTGCCCAGGCCAATTTCCAGCTTTCAGCACTGGCACACTTTGACAATTGTGTGCTCATGCAACACTGTACCCCTATGAAATTTGTATTATTGTTTTGTGACAGAGCTTTATTTTGGCGGTATTTAATCACCTCTGGGTTTTTTATTTTTTCTTAAACCAAAAACCACAGAAAATGTTGAAGAAAAAATTTTTTTTCCTTAGTTTTTGTTATAAAATTTTGTAAATAAGTGCTTTTTCTCCTTCACTGATCTGCGCTAATGAGGCTGCACTGATAGGCACTGATAGGTGGTACTGATGAGGAAGCACTGGTAGGTGGCACAGATGGGCATTGACAGGCATCACTGGTACTGATGGGTGGCACTGATGGGTGACACTGAAAGGCAGCTCAGATGGGCACTGATATGTGGCATTGATGTACACTGGTAAGCACTGATATGTGGCATTGATGAGGCACTGACAGCTGGCACTAATGGACACTGACAGGTGGCACTGCCGGGGCTACACTGATCATCAGTGCTCTGATGATCAGTGTAGATGTCCCCTCCGTGGAATGCCGAAAACCGGCTCTCCTCTCCTCTGTCAGCGTGACAGCTCGTGAGGAGAGAAATGCCGATAACCAGCATTTCCCTGTTTACATGTGATCAGCTGTGATTGGACACAGCTGATCACATGACCAAGCTGACATCTTTGGATCTTTCCGTGGATCGGTGATCCGCTGTGTCCGAGGGACACAGCGCACCGCCGATCACCGCACTGCGTGCTCCCTGAGCCGCGCATGCGCAGTTAGAATTGGAGTACGTCATATGACATCCTCCCAGAACGAGAGAACCACCTTGCGCCCGTCATTGGACTATATGGCGGGTGGGAGGTGGATAAAGTCGAGATCCACCCCAGAGTCTGAAACGGCACCTGGCTCAACCTCTCAGCAATCTGCTAAGATCCTGACCCAGCCACACCCTCCCCCTCCACAGTCCACCGCTCCTGTGAGCTCTTGGGGGGGGGGGGGGGGGGGCTGAGCAGAGCGTGGTGACTGCTGGTCACAATTTCTGCTCAGAGTGCTGTGTGAGTTCTCGCCCTTATAGCCGGCGGGGGACAGGTGCAGTATCCACCTAGGTAAGAATGATTTAAAAAAAAAAAACAAATTACCATACTTCTCTTTTAAAATTTATTAATGCATTTTTTTCTCCAAAACCTTGTGCTTGAAAAACCACTGTGCAAATACTGTGTAACAAAAAATTGCAAAACCCACCATTTTATTCTCTAGGGCCTTTGCTTAAATATATATATATAATGTTTGGAGGTTCTAAGTAGTTTTTTTAGCACAAATATGGGTTGTAGGAGAGGAATGTCACATTTGGGCTGGACTGGAAGTGGTTAAATCCAAAACGTAATATACTGCAGCTTTCCAATCCTTAGATGTGGTGGCTGCATTCATTTTCTTTTGTAGGCTTGTTTTCCCCTGGTGATCTGGCCAGTAATTCACATTCCAGTAATACATTGTCCCCACTCTGGAGAACAGAGGCCCCTTTGGAGAGCAGCATTGTCAGTCTGGGGAGAGGGGAGTGTTATACTGTATGTTCTCGCAGATTTAGGTAGACTAACAAATTGAATCCAGCTCACATTGCAGTTAAACAAGTGGTGACAGCAGTTTTTTTCCTTTTGGGATAAAGGTTTTACATAAATAAAAGCTGATCATTGTAAGCATCCCTGTCAGTGGTAAATGGTTTGTCTCATTATCTCTCTAACTGCTACATTTGCAGGATGGTTTGTTCATTCAAAAAACAGGTTTACTGGCTGGATCACCAGATGAAAATTGAGCTTTAAAAAGAAAAAAACTGCAGCCATCACATCTAAGGCTCCATGTACACTAGCCTACCCTGACCGCCGGCCGCGGGAAAATGCGATTTGTGGTTTCCCACGGTCAAAACGTTCCTATCCTGAGCGCGATTCTTCCGTTTTCAGGAGAAGGAGGTTTTACCTCACCTAAACGCGGCAGCTCCTAGACTCTGCTAAAAGCCTATGTGTACATGGACATAGGCTTTTCTGGAGTTGAGTTCAGGAGCTTTGGCAAAAAAAATGCCAAAAGCTCCTAAACTCAAGTTTAGCAGCTGCTTGTGTGCATGAAGCCTAAGAACTTATAAGCTGTAATATAATAAATGCTTGCTTTTGGGTTTAGTACTGCTTTCACCACTTGCCCTCCAAAGGATTTACCCCCCTTCCTGACCAGACCATTTTTTGTGTTACAGCGCTGCGTTACTTTAACAATTGCGCGGTCATGCAATGCTGCACTCAAATTAAATGTACGTCCTTTTTTTCCCCACAAATTGAGCTTTCTTTCGGTGGT